CAAGACCATAACGTCATCAATGCTTTTCCTCGAACTGGCTAACATAGTTACTAGTTGGTGCTCTGTGTCCTTGGCTTTTAGGAAAAATCTTCTAAGTCGGCCAAAAGACTTGCCTAAGGAGTAGTAGTGCCGAATAGTAAGGATGTTAAGGTTGATGCCTAGAATGTCATTTAGTTTGGCAATTCCCATTATTACCCAAAAGAAGTTAATGTTTGGTTAGGAAAGGATTAAGCCCCAGAAACGAAGGGCGATTCGTAGTAAAGGATGAAGGGAAAATTGAACTCTTCCCTCAATAATGGTCAATAATGATAGAATAATGGTGCTTGTATCTGTAATTTCTAGATTAAGGATGTCATCCTCAATGAGTTCTAATTGAACATCACTTGCGATTTCAAAGTGACGACAAAAAGCAGATACCTTCAACTCAGAGAGAAGGTGCTTTAGGTAGTTTTCCATAAAGCCTCATGGGTAGAAATCATAAAATAAAGGTTGAAGGAAAGAGGGGACAACAATAAAAATGTAAAGAGAAAGGGAGATGGAGCACTTACAATTTTTTTTTTTTTTTTTTGGTTTGCTTAGAGAGGGAAGATGTGAAGTAAACTTCAGATAAAGAAGGCAGAAATGGGAAATCGCAGGAAATAAAGGGACTCTTTGGAAGCGAAAGGGAAGTGAGAAGTTAGGGTTTTGAAAAAGTATAAATGAAGTGTACGTGTTAGAGTTGAAGCAGCGTACTTATTACGTGCCCAAATTTCGAGGCAAGTAAATAGTCTCGTAGGAGCCGAGCACACCGACCACTTAGCAATTTGGAGTGGCCAGGAGCTCGGGGGCAATTGTGTGAGCCAAGTAAAATATTTGCGCAAACGACAAACATGACATTTGGGCCCATCCATCATAGGCCCAAACTTAATCAGGCCCATTGGGTTGCCGAAAACTAAACATCGAACAATATGTTGCTGACCAAGCGATATTCTAAATAAGTAATACTGGTGGAATCGGTTGACACCTGTGCCGAGCACTAACATGGGCCTAAGTTGTCCCTTTCCGAAGGTGTAGTAGGAAACTGGGCCTTGACATTCAAGTAATGATGACAAACAAGTCAAATTACATAAGAAATATTTACACCAAATGGCTATATAAAGAAGGTGGATAGAAGAAGAAAAGTATGCATTATCAATCAACTCAACTTTATCTCTAAAATATCATATTCATTCCCTCTCATACACAATCTAATTTAACTATCGGAGTGCTAATTCTGGCACTCCCGATTGAAGTGTTTTATGTTTTAGGCATTGAAGCGAGGATCAAGTAAAGGACTATTTGGGACGAATGAATATTGAAGAACCACTCCCCACACAATACTAGATAAAAGCATGCGCGTAATCAATGTAGAAGATAAGTAAATAAACATATAGATAATTACCCTTACTCTTATAAAGGAAATTCACTAGAAGAACTGATACCCACTTTTCAAAATTAGAATACAAATTTAAGATTTTTTTGAAATAAAATGTTAACTGGATATAAGGTTTTTACTAATTTGTAATACTTATGTGTTTATTTTTATTTTTGTAATCATTTTAGGGACTAATAGATTTGAATTAAATATTTTAATATATTCAATCGATGGTTGATGGACTAAATAAACTTTGATTTATATATTTTAGAAATTTAGTAGACTCAATCAATAATTCAAGGATTAAGTAGATAATTTGATAATGGTTTAGGAGTATAAAGTGTAATAAACCCGTAATAATATAGATAGGCAAATAGATAAATAGATAGATATCATATAAAATTAAAAATTATTGTCTAAACAATTTTTTTAAAAAATATATACAAAAAACCCTCTCCATCAAATTATATTAGATAGGTTGCAGATTCTCTTCAATCCACTTTGTGGACTGAATAATACTATTAGATTCGTGGGGTCTATCACGAGTTTCATTTCGATAATTCGAATCGTCAATGTATAAAACTCATTGAATACTTTATCCTTGCAAAAAATCACGTTGATTAGATATCGATAGGCAGTTTTGTCAATAATTTATTTTTAAAATCATATCTATTATTGACAAAAATATGACCTGATCAAGGGGTTATCGATATTCGATCAATATAATTTTTTGTATGGATGAAATATTCGACGAACTTTACACATTGAGCAGTTCAGATAATCAAAATGAGACTCGTGATAGGCCCTCTGAACCCAACAGTATCGTCTAATCTACAAAAGAAAATTCTTAACTGTTCTTCTATATAATAATAAAATTATTTAAATTATTAATTGAAATAAGTTTTTGACATCATTAAAAAATATTAATTGACTTGATAATTTATTAATAAAAGGGGCAATAGTTATGAAATTAGAAATTTTAAGAGGTGGGCTGTAATTTCAAGAACTATATGGGATAATTTATTTTTTAAACAAGTCTCAAAGGTATATTTGTAATTTATCCCTTTTTCTTTTGTTTTTTTTTCAAATAAACTTGTTATATGAACCCCCAAGGGTTGGCCTACTGGTGTAGACTTGGGACTTCGGAGTTTGTTCCTCTTTAGGTCTCAAGTTCAAAACCTCTTAGGTGCTGTCAATCCTTGTGTTGGGTCAGTCCATACAGAGCTTTGCTCTGGCTTTAAATGGGTCCCCCGCTAGTGGACGGTGGCATTGGTCCCCCAGGGAGTAGTCGCTTTAAATGGGTCCCCCGCTAGTGGACGGTGGCATTGGTCCCCCAGGAATTAGTCGAGGTGCGCACAAGCTGACCCGGGCACCCTGAGGTATTAAAAAAAAAAAAAAAAAACCTTGTTATATGCCTCTATTTTGTTTTGTTTTTATAGTTTTATAGGCAAACCCGCTGAACTTGTATGTGTTTTATTTTATTTTATTTTATCGGGCATGGCCAATTTTCGGATATATTAATAGCCAAAAATTAATATTTTTGGATATTAATGGCCTAAACCCATAGCCAATTGGTTCAGAGGAGACAACTATGAGTTGAAATTCAATTTAACTCATTTTCATTTGATGGTAGCATAAAAAATCAGCATAATGGCCTGTTTGGTAGGGCTTATTTTCAGCTTTTAGCTTAATTTAAGTTATTTTGATATGTTTGGTTCAGCTTAACAATACAGCTTATAGCTTTTTGTAAGTCAAAAATCAACTTATTCTTTGAGTGGGGGAGGAGAAACTTAATTTATAAATAAAAAATCAACTTATGTTCACAGCAATAAGCTATAAGTTATTAGGCTATAAGTTATAATCACTCTTCCACGGTTCTACCAAACAGGGCCAATGTCAGATTCATATTTAGGTGTCATTTGGAAAGGGGCTATTTTTAGTGGTTTTTGATCCTTTGACCCTTTTTTAATATTATTTTTATTTATTTTTAATAAAAGTCTGTTTGATTTTGAGTTTCAAAATAACTTTCAGAGTTTTTAATTATTTGTTTTTAGTATTTTTTTAATATTTTAGTCATTTTTAAAGATATTTTAAATTCACTTAATCTAAATGTACTTAAAAAGCACAAAATTTATAGTAATTTTTTTAAAATTCACTAATACCAAAAAAAATATAAAAATTCTGCACTTTTTTTTTTGTTGTATTTATTGAATTTCTAAAACATTTGTTTAGAGATAATTTACTTTTTAAGTATATTCGCATTGAGTGGATCTAAAAAAAAAAAAAAAACAAAAGAAATGATTAAAATATAAATAAAATCAACAAAAATAAAAAAACAGATTGAAAACTCAAAAAATTAATTTTGAAAATTCAAAGAGCCATATCTGTGAATTTTTTTTATTATTTTTTTTTGGGATAAATTACGTTGGTAATCCCAACATTTTGCCGCTTATGTCATTTTGATTAATGCACTTTCAATTAGTTCAATTTTAATTCTTAATTTTATATTTGTGTCAATTTAGTCCAATTAATAATATCGTTAGAATTTTTAACAAGAAAAATCAGTAATTGTTGAGATTAATAGAATTGATTCATATGTGTATTTCATAAAAAAGTACTAACAATTGTAATCAATTGAATTAAATTGAAACAAAGTTATAAATTTAGAATAAAAATTTTACCAATTTAAATTTTAGGAATTAAAATAATATAAAAATTAAAATATAAAAATTGTCGGTATAATTTACTTTTTTTTTTTAATAAATTTTTTAGTTACATAATAAAATATGAAAGGCTGATGTGGTATTAATTGCCTAAAATATTTAGTTTACCCACGTTTTAGTTGTATGAAAAAAATTAATGTGCGGGTATACGTTAATTTTTTTATACGGGTAGAAGAAAACTATTTTGGATACATGCCAAATATGCCAGTTTTGACTCTTCAATTTTTTTAATAATTATTTTAATTAAAAAATCATCATCCCGAACATGATCATAGAGATATGCTCGAATTAACTAATTATTTTTTTTTTGTTAATAATTTAATTTTTTATATGATAATTATTATTATTTAAAGAATAATGATTTCTCGCCAGAAAATATTGTTAATGACTAAAATATTAAAAAACTAATATAACTTTTATATATTTATTTATTATTATAGATGGAATGACTTTTTTTTGTTCAAAAGCATAATTGTTGAGCCAGTTTGCATTTTGACAATCCCACATCAGCCAAGTTAAGACCAGTTGGATAAAATGCTTCATGTGTTGTGTCATTGTCCCTGGTGTAATTTATTTTAAGTTAAAATTGATAATAAGAAAGTAAAAATTAAAAACTATCGCTTTTCTAATTTTTAAATAATTAATTTTTTTAACTCATTTAAATTATTATTCCTAATAAATTATAAGTAGAAATTGTAACAAACAGTTTAGCATAAACTTCTAAATTAAAATAAGTTATAAGTAGTTTAATCTGCACCCATTGTCTAACATAAGTGAAGCAAAAGGCAAGAAATGAGTTTCTTTCTTTCTTTCAATATGCTTCATGATCTTGAGTGAAATTTGTCCCGGTTGGTAGTCAGTTAGCCGGAGTCAAATTTCAACCACCGATTGTCATATTGAACTTTAGCTGCTACTTTTTAGTGTTGCCACAGTCGAGCCGATTCAATATGGGTGTGCTGGGAAGCATAGCCATCCTTGTTTCGAGCTTTGTGTGTCTTTACGTGTTCTTGGTTCTGATCAAGCTCTTTCACAAACTATGGTTGAATCCAATCCACGTACAACGTGTGTTGGCTTCACAAGGAATCAGAGGCCCTGCTTACAAATTCATCCATGGAAACACCAAAGAAATGCTCATGATGAGAACCGAATCCTTGAGCAGACCCATGGATTTATCCCATCAAATATTTGCTAGACTCCAGCCTCATTTACACTCTTGGCTCAAGATTTACGGTACTGATCATTTTATTTATTTTTTATTTCTTTTCAATCTTAGGGTTGGTTTGGGGTGTTCTAAAAAAGTGTACTTTTTGTCTTTTTACGAAAAGATATGCAGAAAAGTAAAGATGTGATGTGATGGAAAAAAGATAAAAAGATAAAAAAATGGATTATATAGTTCATGTCAAACCAACCCTTAGTTTCATCATGTAGTTTTAAATCATGGTATTTGGACATCTAATATCTTATAGTATCACAAATGATATGTATCACAACCGATCATGATTTTTCTTTTCTTTTTAAAAAAATAAAAAAATAAAATAAAAAAAATGTTAAACAACTCCTCTAACACTCAATAATACACATGTTTCATGCTGTTAAATATATTAATTTTAATCATGACATCCACTAGTTGATTCCAAATTCAAAAAATATATATATATATTAATTTTAATATTTTAAGTTTCATTAGCTTATGAGTTGCGTAACAAATATATATATTTTTAATTTTCTGTTTTCAATTTTATACTTCATTGGTAAATCCTAGCGGGGTGGGTTTCTATCCGGTTGAAATCTCAATATGAGAAAACTTAAGGGTCCTCTAAGGCTTCTTATGAGTTTTGTTTCGATAATTTGAATTGTTCATATTATGGAGTTCTAAATGTATATCATCTATGAAAAAATCTAGGTTAATTTGATAATCATAACATTTCTATGTTATTATATTATTCACTAATAAATGAATGCTCAATTTAAAAAATATATTTGTCATTCATTTTTTTGGAGGCAAATGAGATAAAATAAAAATATTATGATTCTTGGATCAAACTAAATTTTTTTAGTAGTTATATATATCGAGAGCCTTATAAAATGAACGGTTCAGATTATAAAAATGTGATCCGTGGTGGACCCTATAGCTCCTCAATTTCTCTCATGTTCAGATATTTCTATGAGAGAAGCCGAACCCAATACTAAATGTAATTTGCAAGATGAATTATTTGTAAATTGTTAATAAATCGTTTTAAAAATATTAATTTAGTGGGTGTTTGAGGTTTTTGTTTATTTATTTTTTGGGCTTTTTGGTTATTTTATTTTATTTTGTCTTTAATGAATTTTTTAAAAAATCAACAAGTTTAATTCTACTCGATTAGACGGACCGAAAAAATAAAAAGTTTTGAATTAAAAAGAAAAAAAAAGAAAGGACAAAAAAAGAGAAAAAAAAGTTTTTTAAACTTTTTATGTATTTAAAAAAAATATTTTTTAAATTCTTCTATGCAAGGCAGACAGAGAAACAAAACATAATTCTGAGAAAATATTTAATGACTAAAATATTAAAAAACTAATATAACTTTTATATATTTATTTATTATTATAGATGGTTTGAATTAAAAAGAAAAAAAAAGAAAGGACAAGAAAAGAGAAAAAAAAGTTTTTTTAACTTTTTATGTATTTAAAAAAAATATTTTTTAAATTCTTCTATGCAAGGCAGACAGAGAAACAAAACATAATTCTGAGAAAATATTGTTAATGACTAAAATATTAAAAAACTAATATAACTTTTATATATTTATTTATTATTATAGATGGAATGACTTTTTTTTGTTCAAAAGCATAATTGTTGAGCCAGTTTGCATTTTGACAATCCCACATCAGCCAAGTTAAGACCAGTTGGATAAAATGCTTCATGTGTTGTGTCATTGTCCCTGGTGTAATTTATTTTAAGTTAAAATTGATAATAAGAAAGTAAAAATTAAAAACTATCGCTTTTCTAATTTTTAAATAATTAATTTTTTTAACTCATTTAAATTATTATTCCTAATAAATTATAAGTAGAAATTGTAACAAACAGTTTAGCATAAACTTCTAAATTAAAATAAGTTATAAGTAGTTTAATCTGCACCCATTGTCTAACATAAGTGAAGCAAAAGGCAAGAAATGAGTTTCTTTCTTTCTTTCAATATGCTTCATGATCTTGAGTGAAATTTGTCCCGGTTGGTAGTCAGTTAGCCGGAGTCAAATTTCAAAATAATTAATCTTTTGAAATAGATGGGTTCGGTAAAAAATTGAAGTCAATATTCGGTTCATAGCGATGCACAATGCAGATCAGACAATTTGCTTATGAAATTACCGAATTAGTGGGTTCAAAAACTGATTCAAACCCAACCGATTTGCTATGTGGTGGCTGGGTTTTACTTCCATGGTTTCATTTCACTATGATTTAAAGTTAGAGTTATGTTATTTATTTATTTTTGGGTGTGAAACAGGGAAGAATTTTCTTACATGGAATGGTCCAAAAGCTCAGTTAGTTATTACAGAATCAGAATTCGCCAAAGAAATACTTAAAAACAAAGAAAAAGCTTATCCGCAAATGGAAACTGAAGGCTACTTAAAGAAGTTGTTAGGTGATAGCCTTGTGACATCGGAAGGTGAAAAATGGTCAAAATTACGAAAACTAGCCAACCATGCTCTCCATGCAGAGAGCTTGAAGGTATGCTTCTAGTAATGTTGTTGCTATATTATTATTATTATTATACATATGAGCAAATATTATAAAAGTATAAAATTGATAAATTAATCGTAAATTAGTGGAGTGCAAGTTGATGTATAGTGTGAATCATGTCCACTTGCAAAGAGGGCATTGGTGTCATGTACTTCAGTAAGTTATAGTTAATTTTCTCATTTTTAATTTTTATGATAGTTCTCCGATAAAGATTTCATAATGCATCATTGTTACCAAATAATTTTTAATTTTGGAGAAATCACATCTATAGAAATAAGAATTTTTGTGAATATTGAGCTAATAATACACAAAAAATGATGTATATGTACTGTGTAGAATATGGTTCCAGCGATGGTTTCCAGTGTAGAGATGATGCTAGAAAGGTGGAAGCAACATGAAGGTGAAGAAATTGAGGTATTTGAAGAGTTTAGAATGTTAACATCAGAAGTTATTTCAAGGACAGCTTTTGGGAGTAGTTACTTGGAAGGGAAAGACATATTTGAGATGTTGACAAAATTGGGAATTATAACTTCCAGAAATGTTTTCAAAACCAAGCTTCCTATCTTCAGGTAAATTTATTTTGTTAAATTTCAATCTTACTAATAGTAATCCGAAGGTGATCATATTTTGATACAATTTAATGTGGCATTGTACATGGATTAACCACTTCATTTGATGGGCGGCAAGATATTAGTGTCACTACTTCCTAAATAAAGGTGGGATCAATCATATGATGTGGCCGATAAAATGCAAGGCACCACATTAAATGATACCTAAATTTATTAATCATAATATTACTTATAAATTAATATTAGGGAATATTTCCCAATAAAGTTTTCTTTTATTTCTTTTTTGTCTAATTGATATAACATAATTTCATCAAGATAAAAAAAAAAAAATCTTATAATAGAATACGAATCATCAACAAGGGAACTTTTGGCCCAAAAAAAAAAAAAAAAAAAAAATTAGAGTAGAGAATTCCAAAATCATAAACTTGTTGGGTTTCTATTATTTGACTAACTAGCTTTAGCTTTTCTTTCAATTAAGCGGGGATGACAATTAAATGTAGATGATTTAGGTCAAGTTTGGCATCCTTAAAATAATTTATCTTTTTATCTTTTTTTCATCACATCACCTCTCTATTTTTCTGCACATCTTTTCGTAAAAAGACAAAAAGTGCACTTATTTAGTCATTACCCATTTTTGTTTTTGTTTTTGTTCTGTTTGGTTTTGTTTTTTTTTATTTATTTACCTTTTCATTAAATTGACCATTTCATGGAAGTAGAGCTTTTAGGCCAATGCGTGATGGTTTAGAAAATACAACATCCACCTCCTAGAAAGAAAACTTCTATTTGCAATGGTAGTTCAATATTAAAATAACAAATGGTATTGATGGTGTAAAATATAATTAGTTGATCTATTCAATTGTACTTAAACTATTTCCCTTACAAGAAGCGCGGGTGTCTTTCTCATCCTAATTTTGATTGATCATTTATATATTTGCGCAGTCAAATTTGGAAAAGTACCGATGATATAGAATCAGAAAAACTTGAACACGGGATACGAGATTCAATTTTAGAGATCATAAAGAAAAGAGAAAACGCAATGACAGAAGTAGACAACTATGGGACCGATCTTCTTGGACTACTTCTGAAGGCAAGTAAGGATGCAGATGAGAATAAGAGGATTACAGTGGAAAATGTGGTCGATGAGTGTAAGGCCTTTTACATTGCTGGACATGAAACTACAACCACCTTGCTTGCATGGTCTGTGCTTCTTCTAGCAATCCATACAGATTGGCAAGAGGAAGCAAGAAAGGAGGTCCTTGAATTGTTTGGCCAACAAGATCCAAATGCAGAAGGCATTCCAAGAATGAAAAAGGTACATTAACACTAGTGATCACAAAATCAAATTATATACCCTTTTGTACAAATACACTGAAGAACACATATTATTCAATATTAACTGGACTTTTCTATTCCTTTTTGTATAGATGAACATGATCATTAATGAATCTCTGAGACTATATCCTCCTATCATCAACATTACAAGAAAAGTTCAACGAAAAGTCAAACTGGGACAATTCATTCTTCCGGCCAATATAAATGTGACTATTTTGACATTGGCACTTCATCTTGATCCTCAAATATGGGGAGATGATGTGTATCTTTTCAAACCAGAACGATTTTCAGAAGGAGTTGCTAAAGCTACCAACAACAACCCAGCAGTGTATCTTCCATTTGGTTTTGGACAACGAAGTTGTGTTGGCACGAGCTTTGCAATCAATGAAACAAAAATTGCTTTGTCAATGATTCTGCAACGCTATGCCTTCACTTTATCCCCAACCTATAGTCACTCACCAGTTCAAGTTTTAACAGTTCGTCCGCAACGTGGGATTCAAGTCAAGCTTCATGCTCTTTAGTATAATATAGACAAGTTTTGCTAATAAGATGTTTTATGGGTGAACATAGTAATAAGTCTTTGCTGCTATCAATTTAGTTCCATACTGTAATGGATTTTGAAGATTGTTGAACTATGGAGGAATGACAAATAAATTTGTAAAGAAAATAATATCATCACATTAGTTTGTTTCAAGCTAATCATGTGAGGGAGAACAACAAATATAGAGCATCAAAACCTATCATGTAGAGAAGTTGTATCGAGAATATAATGCAAGAAAACAATGCTTAATTCCCAATAATTTTTGCACTTGCTTGTTATTATATAAGATTAGAGGCAATTAAGTTACATTGTATCTTAATTCATATGTATAATTCTTAAAACAATCCCTAGGCATGCTAAAATTTTTAACTTTTCCTTAATTTGAGACGAAATATATAGATATTTTAATTGCAATTGAATTGCTAAGAATCAATATGAAAGCCTTGATGCCATAGTTCTAAATATCGGCCGATACGCTACGTGTCACGCCCTCAAAATAACCCATTATATATATATCATTGACATGCATTCTTTAAAGGAAACAATTTATTAATTCATTCATCAGAGTATTATTAAATAAAAGCATTACATGTAACATCGAATAAAATGCCCCTACAGGCTTACATCTTTCCAAGCCAACACTTGGATACAAAAATATGAGTTCTAACTCAATACAAAAAAAGCCCTAGGCTTGAATGTTTACATGTACTAATAAATAAAGATAATTAACTAAAGGTAGTCTTCTTCAATCCAGAAGCCAAACCCTCCCAAGCTAAGTCCTTGGAGGTAGTTTATCACCTGAACCTGAAAATTATGTTCCCATAAAGGGTGAGCCACAGCCCAGTAGAAATATACTAAACCACATATAAGCAATGAATAAAGCAATAGCATTCAACAGATGGTTAACCAAGATAATCAATTACTTCATTTTACAGCCTCATGACACTATTGTCTAAGATACGTTTTACTTTCCAACTTTATTAACATGGCTCAGAACCTGGCCAAACTTACAACAGTGAATTATATAGATCATATTCACATTCTTCCAATATCAACAAACAAATGAGACTCAAGCTCAAATCAAAACACTTCATACTTCCAGATTGATACACATTTTAGTGCTATATCAATAAAATACTTCTATATAAATAAGCACACATAAAAGTGATGCTAATGGAGTCCATCCCCTATCTCCTCCCAAACAAAATCCGGTTTTAGAGGTCCATCCCCTATCTTCCCCTAAACCGCGGAGTACATCCCCTATCTCCTCCTCTACACAAAACGTATATAAACACATTAATCAATACACATATTTTCTGTTTCAATGCCATAGTCAAAATTAATGACTTAACCAATGTGATTAGTTTCAGTTATTCCTAATCCACATGCAATGTCTACAACAATCACGACTATCCTCCACCGATAGCCCAAAACAGTTATTTCTAGACTGGAAATAAACATATCAACAATTCAATGGGCGAGTGATTTACATTATCCAACTACACCATTTAAGCAATGAATTTCCCAATTTCATGAATTTAACCAAATTCCCCAATCCCCTTAAATTAATTATACAAATTAAGTAATTTAAACAACTAGGGTTTTCCCAAAATTATCAAAGTAACCCCAACTTATCAAAATACCAAAACTTAGAACAAAACTTATAAAATGGAGTAGGAAATCCCTACCTCGAAGAAAACAACCCAAATGGAGAAGACAAAGATCATACCCAAATACCAAAGTGCTCCAAAATCACCAACTATTCAGATTAAATGGATGCCCTCGACTCACTCTATCTTTTTAATGAAGGATCTAGGGTAGAAACACTCCCTAAGTGGATCAAATCTAAGAGAGAAGGTGAGTAGGGAGAGAGAGAAGTCGGACCTAGGGTTTGGAATCAAAAGAAGATGAAAAAGACTGATCAAAACCCGCTGCTGTGTATATATACTGGACAGGCTCGCTCGAGCGAAGACATGGTCGCTCGAGCGACCAGACACAGAGAAGCAACGCTTGAGCCAAGGAAGCCTTGCTCGAGCCAACAACCCAAAAGCTCGCTCGAGCGAAAGAAAACTCGATCGAGCGAAGAACTCAAACCCTCAGGTCTGTAACCAGACTCACGCTCAAGCGAAAGAACTATCGCTCGAGCGAAGAACGAACTAACTCGCTCGAGCGAAGAAAAGCTCGCTCGAGCCAAGAATGCAGAGCTACAGGTCCATACTGGACGCCATCTCTCGCTCGAGCGACCAAACCCCAGCTCGAGCGAAGAACCAAAAACGACATCTCGCTCGAGCGACCAACTCCTCGCTCGAGCGAAGAACCAAAAACCTGGACAGCAACACTTGGTTTCTAAACCCAACCAACCTGAAACAAACCTGCCCAACACATCCTATAACTCCAAAAGAGAAATAAAGGACGACAACAACAAGTATACAATGATAGAATCTACGGAACCTAAGTCCGGATACAATAATCAAATGGGAAAAAACCGGGGTCGCTATACTACGTATCGGCCGATACGTATCGGAAAAATGGGGTTCCGCGACGTATACAGGCCGATATACCACTAAGATGGAAAATCGTAGAAGTATCGGCCGAGTCCTGGTACGTATCGGCCTGTAAGCGTTACACAAGCCGCGACGGGCCGATACTCACCGGTTCGGACTGGTACGGGAAAGAAAAAGTTGAAAAACCTTTGAAATGATTTTTAAAATTTCACCGCCGCGACACCTGATTCCCGATACGTATCGATCGATACTACCGATACCGATACTCCGCGATCGATACCGTTACGTTACCCGATACCGCGATTTAGAACCTTGCTTGATGCCACTAAAAGCGTGTATGAATTGAGAAGCATCCGCAAAAAGATTAGAGCGTTGATGTGTATCACAATGCGAAAAGCTTAGAATCGAGTATCTTCCACATTTCCAAGGATTTGTTACTCAATGATTGATACTATATATTCAAAAGAAAATGACTCTTTCTTTGTCTACCTTACTCTTCATTTTTACTTATATCAATATTCAATCAAAATGCAATTATAAACTCCAAGAACAAAATGTCTGTAATACTTAATTCTTTAGTTTGTATTTGTATTAATTATGCCTTTTATTCGTTTAGTTTTTTCTTTGCCAAATTTCCCTAGGACAAGTCAACTCAATTAAACCCTATTATTACTTGTTGTGCAGGTATGGTTTGGCTTTCCAAAAGCAACAATTTAAATTAAACCAATTAAAACCCACTCAAACATGTCCATTTGTCATCATAGTCATCATAGATTTTATGGACATATAATGAACCGTAAAAGAAAAGCTAAAAGTTAAGTTGGATAAGTCCATCTCTCCATCTAATATAGATGTTCATAAATCATGACCTTTTGCCCCACACCTAACCATCAGACATAGGCAGAATATGATTTGTCATTCAAATCATAAATATTTGAAGAAGGGATAGCAAAATTCATTTGATTGGAACCTCAATGTTTTGTAAGCTCAATCCACTACAGGAAATGAGGGATTTAGCGGCGTTCAATTAGCGGCGTTTAATTAAATGTCACTTTTTCTAATTTTTAACGGCATTTTATAACCGTCGCATATTTTTTTAACCAAAACGGCACCGTTTTTTGTTTAAAGGCGTCTAAAAGCGCCTCCAAATGTGGTAGATACACACGCCCCTTTTCTGGAACCCTTATTTTTTAATTTGAGCCCTCTCTCTCTTATACGCACGCCTCTCTCTTATCTTATACGCAGACATCTCTCTCTCTCTCTCTCTCAGCGACGAAGAAGATGGAGGAGATAACTCTACGAAGAAGCTTCATCTCTCAAAAGATCAATCGGCTGTTTAGAGCAATTTCGAAGATTCAGATCAATATCAATCGGCTGTTCAAAGCGTTTTCGAAGATTCAGATCGATTTCGAGATTCAGAGCGATTTCGATGCTCCGTCGCCACCGTCATCTGCACCGGCGAGGTAGCGAGCTCCACCGTCTCTCTCTCTCTCTAGATCTCTCTCTCTGGATCTCATACTGATTAATCCAGATGAGGTTAGGGCCTGTGCTAAATAGTTTGTGCAAGATCAGTGCTGTCTGAAGGTTGGTCTTCCTCTCTTGGACACTTAAAATGAAATAGATCAGGATAACTATAGATGACAAACTTTGAGTCTACAGGATGCATGTATAAATAAATATGTATGGATGGATGTATATTAATATTATATATGTATAAATATTATATATAAATATATAGTGAGGAACTTGGATGTATGTATATAAATATTATATATGTATATATATTATATATAACCATTTATCAATTTGGTTTCCCTTTTAGATGTGCAAATAAAAACTAGGGAAATTGAAAATATTGAGAAAATACTGAGAATTAGGCATGCGTTTGGCTGCCGAGAAATACTAAGGAAATTGGAAAACAAGAAAGCTTCCATGATTTATTTTTGTTTATATTTATTTATTTATTTTACAAATGGAGATTACTTATCCAAATAACTTTCTTTCCTAAACTTTAGTTGAGTTTTTGTTTTTAGAGGGCAAATCAAGGGACATTTACGATGCAAATCGTTCATATGGTTTTTCCCCCATTGCATATTTTTAAGCAACCTAGCAAATTGTAAGAAAAGGTTCCATACCTTTTGAGTTTCTATACTAGTGCACGATCTTTGTGCTAATTTCGTGGAATTGAAAAGATTTATAATCTGTATCATCAATTAGTTGGTTGTATTGATTGTTTTAGGGTTATCTATCTATAGGATTGGAAGACTAAAAGACACAAAGAAATTATCAGATCAGGGACTGTAAGTACAAATTTTTGTATTCTTCGTTTATGATTACTTGTTAGTTCATCTATGTGGGTGACTATTCTGGATGAGTGATTGCGAAGAAAATGGATTTGAGTTAATGGGCAGGTGGAGCCCAGACCTGGAGTATTAAGATTGATGGATGAGGCCAAGGATGTTGTGAGATGAACATTTTACCTTATAAATGCAATTATCACTTTGTCACGGTTCTTAATTTTTTTGTTGAATTTGCATTTGTTATCCACATTTAACTAGGTTATAAGTCTACTTATTCTTTCCAAAGTTGTCAAATTCCATGTCCCTTTTCATACATGTAGAACCTTGCTTGTTTATGCTTCCCTCTCTTATCATATTTGCCTTTAGACTGATGGTTATAGGGTAAAAAATTAGCAGTCTGCTCTGCTGCAACTAAAAGTTCTGTTGTGCTCTGCCTTGAGAACCTTCTCATA